CGCTCGCGGGGTGGTGCGTGAGGCATCGTTATCGTTACGCATTAGATCTTTAAAACAAAAATATGCAAACGAAATTAGGGGCAAAATGCTACTTCAGGTGAACTTTCGTCAGCAGTTGTTTTTATGTTATGAAACTCTGGATTACAACAGTTCACAGGCCTCGCATCCCATCACTGGTTAGTGCCACCCACCGGCCCAGGACTAAGGGCTGTCATCCTACTCTGACCCAAAATAGGGTTTTTGCTGTTTTTTTAATTCTGCATTTTATCAAACCATTCTCACCCTTTTATTGTAATTGAAGCAAAGGGAATAATTATCAGCCACTAGAACCTTAAGGGGAAAATTTAAAGCAAGACCTATTTCAAGATTTTAGAGCCAGTTCTTTATAGGTAGCTCATGATTGTTTGTCCTGAAAGGAAATGCTGCTTCAACATAATTATGGGTTCACACTTATTCTTATCATTTGTTCTGTGAAAAACTATACAATTGAATAGTAAATACCTGTAGCACTCCTGCCAAAACTAGGAAAAAACAACAGGAAAAGCTGAATTATTAGAAGAGATCTAGATGGATGTGATAGATTGTTAACACTTGATTTATATTACAAATGAAAATGGGTATCCCCAGAGAGCTCTTTCCAGTGGACTATTTTAAAAATCAGAAAGACTATTGCGGTGGGTTTAATTAGTTTGGCAGCAAAACTTCAAATGTTCACTGAGACACAAAAATGTTTAAATCTGTTCTTCTCCCGGGGATCTACATAGTAAAAATAATCACTATTCTTAAATAGTGAGTTGGATAGGACCCTTTCAGGCTGGTTTATCTACTAGTTACCAGGTGGGGAGAAGATGAGAACATAATGACAGTTCTCCAAAATTATCAGACAACTAATATTGACAACTCACATCTGCCGGGTAGAGGGATTTCCATTACATTTCCTATAAGACTGCATTTATTCATTCAATGAACAGTTATTGAACCCTCAGGGCCTTGGAATTATGCTGCTGATTACTTAGCACCTACAAGGCTCCTAGAGGAGCTTACACAGTGGGAGGAGGACCTGTGGATGGCAACTGCCACACCAGAGGTGAGTATTTTGATGAAAGCCCAGGCTACCATGGAAACAGGCAGGAGTGGCACCCAATCATGGGAAGTGGCTCTAATGAAAGCATTCAGGGAAGGCTTTTTGGAGGGGATGATATCTGAGTAAAAATTATGTAGGATAAGTATGGGTTAACCTTGCAAAAAAAAAGAAGAAGAAGAAAGGTATTTTAGTCAAGGGAAGCAGCATGGGTAAAGACTCAGAGCCACAAGAGTGCATGTCACAATCTAGGATCCTCAAGAATTGCCAGTTGCACTGTGGAATATGGCACCTATTTAGGCAGGTTTCATAGTTCTGAAAACATTGGCTGAATATTAGTATAGTAGTCCTCTCCAGCCTACAGTAAAATCCTAGTAGAATTTGGTTGATTGAAGAACCCAAGACTTTATAGAGCAAAATAGAGTAGTAAGTCATGAATGAACCACTAAGGAAACAAATATATTTTTAACCTTCATTAAAAATAACATTTATTGAATAGGTAACACACACTACCATCATCATTGGGATACAAATAAAATGCTGATAAAGGGATACCCAGTTAACCAACTGACCAGATGCAGTGCTGTGGGAGTTCAGAAAGAAAAGCTGTCAGTTCTAGCTGGGATGATCAGAATCATGGAGAAGACAGCAGGTGATTTGGTTCTGAAGGATGACAAGGATTCCAATTGGTAATGGGAATGAAATGGTAGAAGAAAGGGTATTCATGGGCGATGGCAACTGTATGAACAAAAGGGTGGGAGATGTGCTTGAAGATGAGAAGGTTTATTTGGCCAGAGTTCTGAGGAAACTCCAACAACAATCCAGGGGAAACTGAGAAGAACTTGGATCAAGGGAGTAAGAGTAGAAAGTAAAGAGACAAATTTTAGTGGTAAAAATAATTACTTATAGTGATTCATTTCAAATACAACAACAACAAACTAAAATGTGTCAAATGCAACTGCTCCGACACTGGTTGCTATATATAATAAACCTGAAATATAGATCTAATATTAGCTAATGTCTAATACATGCCCAATTCCTCTTAGTTCTCCTTTGAAATTATTTCTGGGATTTGCCTCATTATTTCCATTACTATTGTAACCATAGTCCCACCTAGAAACAACCTCCAATCCAATTCATTAAAAAATTTTTTTAAAAGATGTTTTTATTGATTTTAGAGAGAGGAAGGGAGAAGGATAGAGAAACACTAATTAGGTGCCTCCTGCACACCACACACTGGGGATTGAGCCCACAACCTGAGCATGTGCTCTGACCAGGAATCAAACCAGTGACCTCTTGGTTCATTGGTTGATGCTCAACCACTGAGCAACACTGTCTGGGCCCAATTCAGTTTTGATTACTTCATTACTTCATAGGACACTGTGCTGGTATTCTAATAGTGGCTAGTAAGAACTCATCATGGCTGGTAGAGGTTATGGGACTCTGGGGATGTGAAGAATCCAGTTTAATCTGCTCTTCAGGGCTTCATAGTGCATGTCACCAAATCAAAGTGCCCAACCCCCCTTTTTCATCTGTATCCTTTCCCAAAATCATTTATTTATAACTGCTTTTTATTTTTCCATCCCATAAAGCCTTTCATTTTCTTTTTATATGTGTGTGTGGCATGGCTGTGAAGGCCTCATAATTTTCCTGTGCTCTGTCCGATATTGATTCTCATTACTGCCTAAAACAAGCTCTTCATTATCTCATTTCAACATCTGTAGAAATCAGAATATCTTTCCTGTCTCCAGGTTTTCATTCATTCCTCCCTCTATTCTCTCTGTCTGGCTTCAGATCATCTATTTCTATTGAAATGCTACCTCACATTTTTGAGGAATGTTTTGAGGATTAAGTAAAGTAATACATGAAAAGCATTTACAGTAGTCTCTGGCTCACAGTAAGTATTCAATAGATGTAAATTATTGTTATCCTTTAAAATCCAACTCAAATGTTACCTCCTTCATGAAACTTTCTTTGACTGCTTAACCTCTCTGAGTCTAATTTCCTAAACTGAAGAATGTTAGGTAAAGTAAAATTTCTTAAGCCCATACCAATGTTTTCATCTCTGAACTCCTAGTATACTTTTAATCAGTAAAAATAACTATTATTTAGTTTCAAAAAGAAGTTAAATTCTCTTTCTATGTGACAATTTATGAACATTTACTATGTGCCAGTCAATATAGAAGTCCATTTTAAATATATTACCTCAATTTTTATGACAGCCTATGAGGTCTCTCCTGTTAGAGGTTGTAAGACCTGCCTGTGGTCACAAAGCTGGCAAAAGGCAATGCTGAGATTGAAATGCCTGGTGTCTGATGCCAGAGTGGAGTCCCAGAAACTGAATTATAAAGTGAAATGAGTGAACTAAAAGTGAGGAAAGAGATATCCTTTTTTCAAGAAGCTTGGCTATGAGGGGAGAGGACAGACGGGTAGCTAGTCAGGACCTAATTTTGTTGTTTTTGAAGGTAGGAAAGACGTGGGCATGTTTGTATGCTGAATCCTGTAAGTGGATTAACTTTAGGACCATCTTCCTCAGAGGCAGGCAGGAAGGAGGGCAAAAATGGATAGTGATCCAAAGAAGTTAAATTCTTTTTGATGTGACAATAAGATAAAAATAAATAAAATCATGATATCAGTTGTGGTAAGGAGTCTAGATTCTTCATTCCTTCAAGCATTCAACAAATGTTTATTGGATATTTACCAATAGCTAGGCAAAGCACAATCCCTATAGCTCACAAAGCTAATAATAAAGTGAGATATTGCATTTGTATTTAATTGGGAAAATGTGGAATTAACTTCTTTAAAATGTGTGAATGCACAACGATCTCAACATTAAAATGTAATACAGTGCTATGATTGAAAGCATTGTACAAAAGTACTAAATACTGAATTAGTATATTTGCACTAGAAGTGACCATTTTTTCTTAACTTTCTGCTTTTGTTCCCCATACTGAGCTATATAAAGAAATAATTATTCTGCCCGGCTGGCATGGCTCAGTGGTTGAGTGTCGACCTATGAACCAGGAGGTCATGGTTCGATTCCAGGTAAGGACATATGCCCGGGTTGTGGGCTCAATCCCCAGTGTGGAGCATGCAGGAGGCAGCCAATCAATGATTCTCTCTCATCATTGATGTTTCTATCTCTCCCTCCCTCTTCCTTCCTCTCTGAAATCAATAAAAATATATTTAAACAAAAAATAATTCTTACAACATAACTTTTAGGAAAGTAAAAACTGGAAGCTTTTTATGATGTGTTGCTTTTTTTCATTTAGGAAATGTTGGGAATAAGATACTGCAAAATTCATTGCAATATATTTCATAGGGTTTTACAGTAACAATACTGAACTGATTTTTTTTACAGAGATGATTTATGCATGGGATTCTACACATAATATTTAAGAATTATGTTTGATATAAAATAAAATAGTTTAGAATATTTCCAGACAGTCTATCACTTCCTTAAAGAACAAAGGACAAATTTTGAATCTTAGCAAACTGTAGCAGGATAGACTTAAAGCAGTTCAGTTTAAC